ATGAGCCGTGCCCCGGGCAGCCCCCTTCGCCCCTCTCGGGCCCCCTTTGTGAACCGTGCTTTGTGTCTCCGTCAGACAGACCGGGTCTGTTTCTTTTCTCCGCGCTCCCCTACCCCGCCCCCCTTCTTCCTCGGCAGCTGGAATGCACTCTTAACCCTGCCCTTCCCGGAGGGCCTGCGCCCCTGCAGCCTGCCTGGAAACTGGGCCCTGGCACACCTGGGCTGGGGCTATCACGTAGGGAACCACCCCGCCCCCAGCGTCTCGGGCCTGGGATGCTAGGTCACTGGGGGAAGTCTGAGGGGGAGAGTGTCCCAAGCTGGCAGGCCTAGGGCTATGGGGGCGATGGACGGGAGATCAAAGCACATTTTTGATCCCTCAGTTACTCCTACACCCCACCCCAAGTTCAAAAACCTGAGGGGGTGGGGGGTGCAACTTAAGTGAGGAGAACCAGCGTCTTATGAGACCCAGGCTGTTGCTGGCTAGTGGAGGGCTTTCTCCCTCTCGGTTAGGACAATGGGTGGGGGCTCCAGCAAGGGATGAAACCTAAGTTCTTTTTTTTTTTTTTTTGAGGCAGAGTCTCGCTCTGTCGCCCAGGCTGGAGTGTAGTGGCCGATCTCGGCTCATTGCAAGCTCCGCCTCCCGAGTTCACGCCATTCTCCTGCCTCAGCCTCCCGAGTAGCTGGGACTACGGGCGCCCGCCACCACGCCCGGCTAATTTTTTGTATTTTTAATAGAGACGGGGTTACACCATGTTAGCCAGGATGGTCTCGATCTCCTGACCTCGTTATCCTCCCGCCTCGGCCTCCCAAAGTGCTGAGATTACAGGCGTGAGCCACTGCGCCGGCGAAACCTTAGTTCTTAAACGGGTATAACCCTGGATCCTTGGGTGGGGTTTCAGAGGATCCTTACACTGAAATTTTTGGGAATTTGAGTATTCATTTTTGGGGGGAAGGAACTGTGGCTTACCTGGCTTTCAAAACATTGAGAATCCTTGCTACCCAGCATTCTTCTAAAATCTCCATCAACTTACTCCTCATCCCAGGCACAAATTCCCACTGCTTGCATGTGGGGCTGTCAATGCCGAAGGGACAGAGTGGCTCTTTTATTTCTCCAAAGGAGGATTGAGGACCTTGAGTCTGTGGAAGCCCTTTTTAAAAAAATTCTTTCTCCAAGTAACTGTAGATTGACAAAACAATTAACACCCGGGCTAGGCTAGGCTCTTTAAACCCTTGGCTGTAGGGAGCTGAGGAGAGGCATTAAGAAGCCATGCCTCATAAACTTTAAATTCTTGCGCAGGGGTTTATTACTGGCTGGCTAACAAACTGCAACTCAGCCAACCTGTAAAAATGTGAACTCGGGCAGGGCCCCAAATCCAATTCCGGCTCCCTGAGGAAGCCTTATTGCTAACCAGACTTCTGCCAAATCTGCACCCCACCCCCATTGTCAAGTTCTCTGACTACAGCCTCCCAGAGCAGGCTATAGCTTTGAGTCAAGTTGTCTGTACCTTCTTTCCTACTGAAGCAAAAAATATCAGATTAGCTGTCACTTCACTAGGCTTGAGGTTTTGGGGGGAAGCAGTGATCAGGTTTTGGATTTCATGGTTGAGTTGGCGTGTGCTTCCCGATGACGTCAGGCATTTTAAACCTTTAGAGGAAATTCAGCTTTCTCGGATGTCTGCTTTTCCACTGTGAAAATGGTGGGTTTGTGCCAGGAGCACACCTGGGTTATACAACAAAGGACGGGTTAATGGGCTTGGCGTACCTTGAAACTCCCTGCCACATGGCTGGGTCTTAGAGTAGGCTTCCGGTGGCATGGGCTGCTGCTTTCTTTTTTAAGTAAAAGCGCATTTCTTGGTCCAGTTAGTCCCAATAAATTGGGACTTCCCAACAAAACATCTTGCTATTTCTACCCTTGGTCTTCAGCTGGCACTTTTCTACCACCCCACCCGCACCCTAGTTCCTCATCCTCAAAACATACAGCCCCAGCCTGGATCCAGCCACGTTGAAAGGGTTATCCTGCAGGAACATATACACTCTCAAGTTTAGCCAAGCAGACACGTTTCCATATTGCTAAGGAACAATCACCCCTGTTGTTCGCCCCTGGGTTATGAATATCAAGGGCGTCTATGAAGTTCAGCTCAAAGAACTTATCTGATGTAATTAATGCCTTGTTTGTATGTTCATCTTCCCCTTCAAAGCCCTTTTGCAACTCTGTGCTTGGTTTATCCTCCTAACATTCCCTTGAAGCAGGTGAGGTAAATATTAAACAAGCTGAGCTTTTAATCTCAGAATTTTGAACTTCAGAAATCCCATAGTCTAGCCGCCTTGCCTGAGGTTTCGAAGGTGGAGAAACAGAGGCACAGCTTAATGGATTGGATTCACTAAGCCAAACAGCTCATGAACTTCTTTGAGGGTGACAGACACAACCTTTACCTCTTGGTATATGTCCAGGACCTGGTACCTTACAGGATGCCCAGTCCTGTATGAATTATTAATTATGAATGAATTTGACAACCTTGTGAAGGGCGGCCCATTTTATAGATGAAGCCTACATGACTGTGGCTTCACCAAGTCATCACTGCAGTGATCAGATGGGATTTGAATGGAAATTTCGGACCCCAAAGTTCCCTGGTTTTTTTTTGTTTTTTTTTGAGATAGGGTATCGCTCTGTCACCCATCCCAGGCTACAATGCAGTGACCCAATCACGGTTCACTGCAGCCTCTACCTCCTGGGCTCTAGTGATCCTCCTACCACAGCCTCCCAAGTAGCTGAGACCACAGACATGTGCTACCATGCCTGGCTAATTTTTAATGTTTTCTAGAGATGGGGTCTCACTCACTATGTTGCCTAGACTAGTCACAAACTCCTGGGCTCAAGCAATCTTCCCACCTCAGCCTCTCAGGCACTAAGATGACAGGTAGGATCCACCATGCCCAGCTCCCTGGCATTTTTTTACTACCAGAAAGCAGGGCCTGAGTGGAGAGGGTAGAATGTTGGATCCCTGAATCCCATAGCTCTAAATAACAAGCTCTCCTGGCCCCCTGCCCCAAGAGTGCTTAGTCTTTTTTATTTTTTTTTATTTTAGGGTTTTCCAGAAACATTCATGTAGAGGAAATTGGTTTGGCTTTAGTCTCTAAGGGCCCAAGTGAGGGGTCTTGACTAGCTTAAGAGGAAAGGTTAATCTGGAGGGAAGGAGAGCTGGCACATTCCCCCATCCCAGTGCCACAGTCTGGGGGCCACCTTTCTTCAAGTGTGGTCTGGAAGCTGACAGTGGAGAGGTGGGAGGAGGGAACTTTCATGGTGTCAGTGCAGTGATTAAAAGTGAGTGACCTACAGTGGTCTACTCATCCTTAAGGGCGAACAACTGAGAGAGGCAGCTTCATGGCAGTCAAACAGATGCAGTCCTTCATTATGGCCTTCAGCAGGTTCAGCTGACCCATAGTCAGCCTTTGGGTCAGATTAAAAACTAACCATCATCAGCTTTGGGAGGAAACTTCCAGGTTCAATAATGCATCTGACTGAGCACAAGTTAACATCAAGATGATTTTGTCTATTTCAGCTCTGGGTGTGAAAACGGCCTTTTATTGTGGAAGTCCCTACTCTGGGGTATGCCCTTTATTTACATTTCATTCTTCCTGTAAGCATATATTTCGCATCTGCATAGATCAGGCACTGTTCTACAACTTCAACTAAAGCAGTGGACAAAATGAAGTCCCTGTCCTTGGGGAGCTTAACAGTCTAGTAATTTTTTTCTTTTTCTTAAAAACAGAGGTTTTATTGCATTTGGTCCACAGTTGGTATTTCACATCTCACGGTGCAGGGCCCCTGGGTGGGGTGTGTGGCCATGGGAGATGAAACAGTATAGCTGGTCAGGCCCAGAAGGGGAGACGGAGGGCTGGGGGCTTCTTAAAACCTACTGAGGGGCCAGGCATGGTGGCTCACGCCTGTAGTTCCAGCACTTTGTGAGCCTGAGGCAGGCAGATCACATGAGGCCAGGAGTTCAAGACCAGCCTGGCCAACATGGTGAAATCCCGTATCTACTAAAAATATAAAAATTAGCTTGGTGTGGTGGTGTGTGCCTGTAATCCCAGTTACTTGGGAGGCTGAGGCAGGAGAATTGCTTGAGCCCAGTAGGTGGAGGTTGCAGCAAGCCAAGATTGCACCACTGCACTCCAGCCTGGGCAACAGAGGGAGACTCCGCCTCAAAGAAAAAAAAAACCTACTGAGGACCACAGTAGGGGGTGGTCAGCATGGAGAGGGGGTCAGGCTTAGCCCCAATGACTCAGAATTCTACTTCCTTGTGCGGGTCTCAGTTTCCCCACTGGGCCCCTAGGCAGGCTTGAGGGTCCTAGAGAAAGCCAGCCACTCAGGAGCCTGAGATATTTTAGCATCCTGGCCAGGCCCCCTCTCCCAGGGAACTCATTTCCACTGTCCCTGCCCCATTCCTTGGGGAAAAAAATATATTTCTTTTTCTTTTTTTTGAGACAAGAGTTTTGCTCTTGTTGCCCAGGCTGGAGTGCAATGGTGTGGTCTCGGCTCATTGCATCCTCTACCTTCTGGGTTCAAGCGATTCCTCTGCCTCAGCCTCCCAAGTAGCTGGTACAGGCATGTGCCACCACGCCTGGCTAATTTTGTGTTTTTAGTAGAGACAGGGTTTCTTTTTTTTTTTTTTTTGAGACGGAGTCTCGCCTGGTCACCCAGGCTGGAGTGCAGTGGGCGGATCTCAGCTCACTGCAAGCTGCGCCTCCGGGTTCACGCCATTCTCCTGCCTCAGCCTCCCGAGTAGCTGGGACTACAGGCGCCTGCCACCTCGCACGGCTAAGTTTTTGTATTTTAGTAGAGACGGGGTTTCACTGTGTTAGCCAGGATGGTCTCGACTCCTTGACCTCGTGATCCGCCCGTCTCGGCCTCCCAAAGTGCTGGATTACAGGCTTGAGCGCCACCGCGCCCGGCCAGAGACAGGGTTTCTCCATGTTGGTCAGGCTGGTCTCGAACTCCCAACCTCAGGTGATCCGCCCACCTTAGCCTCCCAAAGTGCTGGGATTACAGATGTGAGCCACCATGCCCGGCCATATTTTTCTTTTGTTAATACTTCCTGAAACTTTTGTGGGTGCAGAAACCACAAACTGATCGGCCAGCAAACGGGGGAAGAGGCAAGGCAACTGGAAACCTTCGGGGAGCGATTGCCTCCATGCGCAGGTCTCTTCGCCGCAGCACAGCAGCCCCATAGCCTGGACATGCCAGCAGGGACCCTCACTCTACACGCATCGGGATGCGGCCTTAACCCCTTCCCGCACAACCCGGTGGCCCAGTTCTGCGAAGGAACCAAGGCAAGGGGGCAAAACCCTGCTGCCAGATCCCATGCCGCCACTCACAGACCCTCGGTTGATTGGCAACACTGAACAGGTTTTAAAAAAAAAAAAAATACAGAAAAACCCCAAAACCCAGACAGGGAGACGATGTGGGGAGAAAGCGTGCTGGGAGCCTTAGTAGCTGGCCTCCTCCTGGTAGTAAGGGGGGTAATTCAGGGGCCTCCCCTGGGCCTGGGCACTCATTGGTGCCCGAGGGAGCCCTGTCGGCCACTGAGCCTTGTGGGCAGTACTTGGAATTGTATATCTGCCGGCCCAAGCCAAAGACCTGGCCTCTCTGGTTGGCACCCTGCGTGTAGCCCATCTGCAGGGACATGGAGGAGTTGTCACACTTGTTGGTGCCCAGCTTGGTGTCATAGATCTGCTGCTGCGTCCAGGGAGCCGTCATGCCTACCTGGCTGGCGCACTTGTTTGTACCCATCTGGAGGCTGATGGTCAAATGGTCCATGGGGGCAGGATGTGGTTCTTGGGGCTGTAGAGATGCCTTCCTGTGCTGTACATGGTCATGCCCAACTGGCTAGCACATTTGTTGGTGCCCATCTGCAGCCTAGTGACTCACTGGCTGGCCTTCGTGGTGTTGTAGTCGAAGTTCCGCTCCTGCTGCTTTGAGTACCCAATGCCGATGTCCACCCTGCTCTGCAGCCCCTTAGTTTTGGCCTTCCCCACCAGGGCAAGAAGAGACAACACCTGCGTCATGTTCCCACTCTCAAACAGGTTATTGGCCTCAAACAGGTTCATGGGGTTCATGCCGTAGCTGACTATGGCCTTGATGAAGTTGGAGAGGTTTTCTCGCTGGTGCCAGTTCTGCATGGAGCGGTTGATCTTGGGGACTGAGCCTGGCTGCAGCTTGTTCATGAGTGTGTGTAAGATAATTCTGTCCTTCAGGCCCTTTTGGAAGTTGGGGCTGATGGAGAGGCTGGTGAGCCCCTCGATCCAGCTGCGGAGCTCTGCCTCCTTCTGGGGGTTGTATTTGGACAGGAGCCGGTTCTTGACCTCGGCCGAGAGCCGGTATGAGGGGCCCTTGTTGAACTGCATGGAGAACACAGCTGGCGGGTGCGGTGGCAGGACTGGACCGACTGGAGGTGACCAACGGGCCCTAATTTAGTAACTTTCTGTGCTTGTGGGCTGTCCTGCAAAGGAGTTGTTGATAATTTCCACTTAGCTGTAAAATGAGGTTGAGGAACTTAGTGAGAGGTCACTGGTGCAGTAAACAGACGGCCAGGATTTAAACCCTGGTGTTTTGCCTCCACAGCCCAGGGGGATATCCATAAATCTGGCTCTGAGGAATGAATGGGAACTGGAGCTTCAAGCCTAGCAGGCTGCCTTCCTGGCTTAGCAGCAGAGTAGGGTTACCTTGCTGAAGACTCTGTCCTGCATCACCAGTAGCTTGTGCCTGGGGAGCAGGTCTCAAACCTCTAGTCTCCCTTCCCACCTCCTCATGTGCCACTGTGTTCCTAGGTTACCCAGCGCAGGGTGCTCTCACCTCCCTACTGCACAAAGAAGTTATTGTTCATGATAAGCAAAGAGTTTCTAGGGCCAGGAACTATAGCTCTGCAAAGCATTTGGAGGATGATGGAAGATGAGGGAGGGAAGGGCCTCCCCAGCTCCAGTCAGTTGAGGCTTTGGTCCTGAGGCTGAATGGTCTCCATTCAGAGACTAGATGTTATTGAAGAATAACAAATGTAGATAAAAGTGCCCAAATGATGAGTGTGCAGCCCTATGAATGTCGCAAACTTAAAACCCCTGTGTTTCTGGCACACAGATAAGAAACAGCATTACCAGGGCCTTAGATGCCCCTTTCCTCCTAATTTCAACCCTTCTCTCAAGATAACCACTCTTCTGACTTCTAAGTACCACAGGCGAATTTGCCTGCATTTGAACTTTCTGTAGGAGGATCATAGAGTTATCCCCTTAGCTCTGACTGCTTTCACGGCACCCTTGAGAGATTCTTGCATAATTCTGGATGTAGTTCTAGTCGATTCTCATTGTATAGTATTTCATTATGTGACTATCCACAGTTCTGCTGTTGATGGGCATTTCAGTAGTTCCATTTTGTGCAAGTCTTTTGGTGACCTGTGCACCCCTAATTGTTAGTTATACACCTGGGGCACAATTGCCGGGTTAACTGAGGATTCCAGTACCGTGATCCTGGACTGAGATATCGGCTCCTCTCTGTTCTGAAGTAGTGAGGTGTCTCCTGCATTCTCCCACCCCAACAGTCTCCCTGCCAGACCCACCCCTTCTGGAGTCTTGATTTTCATCTGGCCCTATGCTAAGAGACAGCAAGTCTTTATTATGTACTTGGCCTCATCCTTTGTCTTGGGGGAGAAAAGCTTCCCTTTCTTTGTCCTTATCCTGATGCTCGCTTCTTTCCTCAAAAGCAGAAAGGGAATCTGGAAAGGGCCCTGAATTTCATAAGTGAGAACTTCTTCCTGGGTGGAGATTTATTTGTTTTTAATTTTTTTTTCTTTTTTGAGATGAGTCTCACTCTGTTGCCCAGGCTGGAGTGCAGTGGCATGATCTCGGCTCATTGCAAACTCCGCCTCCCGGATTCAAGTGATTCTTCTGCCTCAGCCTCCTAATAGCTGGGACTACGCATGTGCCACCATGCCCAGCTAATTTTTTGTATTTTTAGTAGAGACGGTGTTTCACCGTGTTAGCCAGGATGGTCTTGATCTCCTGACCTCGTGACCCACCCTCCTTGGCCTCCCAAAGTGCTAGGATTACAGGTGTAAGCCACTGTGCATGGCCCTGGGTGAAGATTTTTATCCTGACCAGTGTGTGGGTGGGCAGCAGCCTCCTTATTTGGCCAACATGTTCAAATCCAGCTCCTCTCTTATTATAGAAACAGTGAAGTGTCTGAGATCCAAGGCCAAGTTGAAATGGTCAGTCAGCCAACAAACTTCTGAGTACCTGCTGGGTACTAGATACTGAGGGTAAGCAAGGCCACTGCTCCTAACCCTCAGTGAACTCCTGATTAGGGTTCAGGTACTGTTCTAGGTGCTGGGGATTCATTACTGAACAAAGTGTGCAAAAATCCTAGCCTCAGAGGGCCACTTACCTGCTAGTGTAGAGAGACAGACAAAATAAATACAATATATGTATATATGAGATTGAGGGGGGGCTGGACGTGGTGGGTCATGCCTGTAATCCTAGCACTTTGGGAAGCCGAGGCCTGCGGGTCACTTGAGCTCAGGAGTTCGAAACCAGCCTGGCCAACATGGTGAAACCCCCATCTCTGCTTTAAAAAAAAAAAAAAAAGCCCGACATGGTGGTGCAAGCACCTGTAATCCCGGCTTACTCAGGAGGCTGAGGCAGGAGAATGGCTTGAACCCAGGAGGCGGAGGTTGCGGTGAGCCGAGATCAAGCCACTCCACTCCAGCCTGGGCGACAGAGCAAGACTCCGTCTCAGAAAAAAAAAAAAAAAAAAAAAGATTGAGGGGGGGAGGTGGGAAAGGAGTGATATAGAGTCACATAGGAGGGGCTGCTGACATGTTCTTGGGGAAACCTCGAGGAACTGATGTCCAAGCTGGCAGCCGAGGAAGAAGAATTAGGCAAGGGAGCTGGGCATGAGAGGTGGCGTGGAGTGTTCCGGCAGAGGAACAACACCAGGGTTCCAGGGACTTGGATACATTGAATCTGTCTGGATCATGGAGTGGGAGGTGGAGAGAGCCAGTGAGGCATAGGCAGGGTCCAGCCCCGCTTGAAATTTGTCTCACCCCATACCAGAGGCAGCAGAGTGTTGTAGCAGCGTGTTTGGGGAAATCCCAGTTGTACCAGTATGGAGACATAATAGCTGAAGTCCCAGTTGTACCAGTATGGAGACCAGGGTCTCTGAAGTCTTCTCTGGAGCCAGGATATTGGCCCCCACTCCCAGCAACCCTTCTTGACTCCCCTCATGCTTCTCAGACTGGAGGACCATATCTGCCTCAGTCGCCTTTTTCTCATTTCATTTAGTCACCTGGCATTGCCACCCCAGGCAACAGGGCTGGCAAGGAAGGGCTGTGAAAACTCACCACCGCCACCCAGATACCACTTGAGAGCTCCCTGCATTCCACAATCACACTATGTACTTCATGTCATAAGCCCCTTTAATCCTCCTAAAAGCCCTGTGGGGTGGGTGGAATTGGCCCCATTTAACTGGATAGGAAACCTCGGCTTGTCACTTTGTAACTATCCAAGGTCACCCAGCTAATAAATTGTGGAGTCACAGTTTGAACACAGGTGTGACCCCCTAAATATGAGGCACTGACCATTTGGAAATCAGGGTGGGAAAGGGAAATACATTTGGAGTCTTCTGGCCCCAGCCAAATTAGAGGAAGATTGGAAATAGTTAACTTCTGGCCCAAGGGCTTTGAATTCCTGTTCCCTCCACAGGCCCCTGCTAATCACCAGGAGGGTGGGGTGGTGGCAGGCACTTCTGCCCAGGACCTCTGGCCTCCCTTTTAAGATATGGGGGAACAAGGAGGGTTCAGATACCAGGCCTGATAGCACTCAAACTGACAGTCCTCTGCAGAGAATCTGCTCTGCCTCTCCTCACCCCACCCCCACCTGCCTCCAGCAGCAAAGACCTCTCACCTCTTGCTCTGGGTAGAAGGGCTTGACAGACCCTTCCCCACTCACTCCTCCTCCCCCAGCCAAATCTGGGCATTCTCAGGGCTCTGGGTTACCTAGAGCATCAGAGGTCTGCAAATTCCTCCAGCTGACAACATTCCCTCCAGGCTGCAGCTGCCTCTGTCTGCCGGACTTCAGGGTGCTGGGGACCTGCTGCTTGGGCAGTGAACCAGAATGCCTCACCTGGGGAAAGAAAGCCAAACGGGCTGGGTGCGGTGGCTCACACCTGTAATCCCAGCACTTTGGGAGGCTTCGGTGGGTGGGTCACCTGAGCTCAGGAATTCGAGATCAGCCTGGCCAACATGGCGAAACCCTGTCTCTACTAAAAATACAAAAATTAGCCAGGCTTGGTGGCGTACGCCTGTAATCCCACCTACTTGGGAGGCTGAGGTAGGAGAATTGCTTGAACCCGGGAGGCAGAGGTTGCAGTGAGCCGAGATTGCGCCACTGCACTCCAGCCTGGGAGACAGAGCGAGACTCTGTCTCAAAAAGCCAAACAAATGTCTTCCTTTCTCCCTCGACCCCATCTTTGAACTCAGGACTCTGGCTCTGTGGCTATCTAACATCTGAGGAGAAGGCTGAGAGCCAAGGCCACAGAGCCAGGAGGTGGGAGGGCTGGTGGACTGCTTCCTCTCGTGAGAGCCTCTCCAGGTGATACTGAACACCAGGAGGAAAGATCTGGTTTTTCCTAGGACTCTGAGGCATGTTAGAGCTAAATGGGGAGATGGGGAATAGGGAGGTATAATCCCAGGCCCTCTTCTCCTTCAATCTCGGTAGCCCCCCTTTTGTTCGAGACCGCATAAAGTTGGAAGTTACCTATTAGCAAGAGACCTTGACAGCCTGTGTTGTGCGCTAGGAGAAGTAGAAGGTATTTTTGCTTGAGTTCTAACTTTAGGGTCATATTCTCTTTAGGAAATCATTGATCCCCAGGAATTAACTTTGTCTAAGAACACATGTATATCTTTCTGAGAAGTCTCTTCCTCCAAATTTGGGGACCACAGGTATTCCCCAGATCTCCCAGTCTTCTTTTTTTGTTTTAAGAGACAGGGTCTCACTATGTTGCCCAGGCTGGTCTTGAACTCCTGGCCTCAAGTGATCCGCCCACCTCGGTCCCCCAAAGTGTTGGGATTACAGGCGTGAGCCATCATTCCTGGCCCCCAGTCATTTTATAGAGAAGCTAGAACTACGGTCTAGAGAAATGATTTGTACCTGCGTCCATTTGGAAATTCTTCAGACTCTCGTCAAACCCAGCAGTGGGAAGAGACCTGATGGTGTACATCCCAGCATAGGCAAGGGAAAAATGGATTCTAAGCTGTTTCTTATCCCAAATCATGTGGCCTGAGGCGAGTTACTGAGTCCAGGCTCCTCAACCTTGAGGCCCTAACTCTCCTGTGTGTGCGTGGGAAACTGGCCAGTGAGAGGGCCCCGGTGGAGAGTTCGGCTGCTCTCCTGGGTGTCTTGCTGAAGGCTGGCTGCCTTCTGAGCGGCCTTTGCACATTTGCACAGCAAGCCCCATCTTGTCGTAACTTGAGGCAGGGGAGAAACAGCTACTTGTGAGCTCTTCCCACACAAGCCAGGACACTTGAGGCAGGGGAGAAACAGCTACTTGTGAGCTCTTCCCACACAAGCCAGGACACGACGCCAGGCCCACACACTGCCCTCTCCCTGTAGAGTCGCTTCATCCAGGCTTCCCACCGCACTTCGAGACCTGCTCTTCTCTTGTCTTTTATGGTCTCTTTCCGCTTCCAGAAGTCTCCTGCATTCCCCAACTGGAGCTCAGCCCCACTCCAACTGGCTCATCCCTGCTTTTGGCCTCTGAGTCAGTAGTTTGCAAGCTTGGCTGGTGATCAAATTGCCTGGGGAGCTTTTTATTTTTTATCGTCTTCTCCCCAGTGTATACCATTTTACGTTGTTTACACAGGGATGGTTGGTTGGGATTTCAAATTAATACATGAAAATATGTTCACTGTAAGACACACTTTTTTCAATAAAATATGTGGCACTTATAATGTGACAGATAAAGTTCTTAGTACTTTATATGCATCAGCTCATTTAATCCTTAAACATCCCTTGAGGGAGGTACTATTGTTGTCCCCATTTTACAGGTGAGGAAACTGAGGCCAGAGAAGTTAAGTAACTTGCCCAAGATCACACAGCTAAGTAAGTAGTAGAGCCCAGATTCAAACCTAAGCAGACTGAGCTTACACCACTGAACTCTAGTGCCTGTCAATATAAGCAAGTCAGAAATAAACACATGAAGGCTGGGTTTGGTGGCTCACAACTGTAATTCTAGCATTTTGGGAGGTTGAGGTGGGAGGATTGCTTGAACCCAGGAGTTCAAGACCAGCCTGGGCAACATAGTGAGACCCCCGTCTCTACAAAAAATACAAAAATTAGCCAGGCATGGTGATGCATGCCTGTAGTCCTGTCTACTCTACTCAGGTGGCTGGGACAGGAGAATTGCTTGAACCTGGGAGGTGGAGGTTGCAGTGAGCCAAGATTGTATGACTGCACTGTACTCCAGCCTGGGCAACAGAGTAAGATGCTGTCTTAAAAAAAAAAAAAAAAAGGATCTTTTGAGCCCGGGAGGCAGAGGTTGCAACGAGCCAAGATCACACCACTGTACTGTAGCCTGGGTAACAGAGTGAGACCCTGTCTCCAAAAAAACAAAAAATAAATAAAGAGAGAAAAAGAAATACGTGAAATTTCTTTTTTTTTTTTTTTTTTTTTTTAGACAGAGTCTCGCTTAGTCGCCCAGGCTGGAGTTCAGTGGCGCGATCTCGGCTCACTGCAAGCTCCGCCTCCCGGGTTCACGCCATTCT